TTTTTGGGCTTTCCCCCCCGAACGGGGATTTGGAGCCCAAAAAGCCGGACATGTCTGGGAAAATCCGGACGTATGGTAACCCTATCTTTGGTGTGCTCAGTACAGCATGTGCTGCTGCTACTTTGGCAGTGCTGCAAGCCCGACTTAGTGTTGTCTTTTAGTAGTTATTCTGGCAGGTTGCCAAAAATTTCCTAAGGCACATCAGAGAGAAGGGGAAATGCTGATTTCTTCGCAAAAATTGAATGGACTTTGAGACAAAAACAGGTGCTTCTGTAGTTTGAGAGCATTCCTCCTGTCCGATATCAAAGGCCTGCTGAAAACTATGGAAGTCTGAGATAGGATGACCAGATATCCCGATTTTTGGCTCTTTTTCTTATATAGGCTCCTATTTCTTCCTCCCCCCCGGTCCCGATTTTTCACACTTGCAGTCTGGTCACCCTAGTGTGAGAGCTTCTTAAAGAAATAGTTGTAAGAATCTTTTATAATGGAAAGTGTTAGGTAAGTTAAATATAGGGGTTGCTATCAGCTCCGGTTACCATAATGCTGTGCATTTAATTCATTTATTGCTCTATCCACTACTTGTTTTTGACCAAATAGCATTTCCAGTTATTCCAATCAAATATGACTATTGAGTACAGCCACAGTAACACATACATTGGCTGTAATTAATCACTAATGATAGCAGTACAGGGCACTTGCTGGAGACTGAGTGGCTGGGAGGAGTTCAAGAACCTAGGATGCCAAACATTGGCCTGTCCTGAGGTTTTATTGCTATAAAAGTGGAAATTTAAAAAAAGAATTGTTTCTGCATTCAGTGCTGTGCATGCTTGATGTAGCTGATGCTGAATTAGTCACTTTTATATCCATTGGCTTTTTCCAGAGACACAGTGCCTGGTACGTTGGCTGGTCAGGATGTTGAATGTGTCTTGTAATAAGAAACAAAGCCTTTCTGAACTCTGAGTCATGACACATTATGTGGAATGGAACCTGTTTACAAGCGAAGGTGGAATACTAATCAGTTTATTACCTCTCTCCTGCAGATTCCATTGTGATTGGATTTTGGGTCGGTCTGGCAGTTTTTGTCATTTTCATGTTCTTTGTGCTGACCTTGCTGACGAAGACAGGAGCACCGCACCAAGAGTAAGTCTGATCAGAGGGCGACAGTAATGTGATGTGCTGATCAAATGTTTTTCCCATTACAGTGATGGTCCCTTCTATTGAGTTGCTTGTAAAGGAGACGCTGTCAAGGCTAAACTGCCCAGAATTTTACCTACTATAAAAAAAGGAGATTTTTTTTTTTAATACTTTCCAGCTGATACTAAAAAGTCTGCCTATTCAGAAGCTGGAGCAGCATAATTTCTAACATCCGTGATCTTTTGCAGACCAGACAACAAATCCAGGGTGCTTGTTTCTGTGTGGTCCCAGGATGTGTTTTGTCAGTGTAGATATACCACCCTTCTACTCTGCCTGCCTATTTTGTTCTTGTAACCAAGTTGATGGCACCAAAATATTGAAGAATCTTTGTTTTCAGAACTCATTTGAGAGAGCACTTCTGTATAGAATATTTTAATACCTCCACCTGCTTAGCAAAATCAGTACGCAAGTAGAGAGGAAGGACAGCATAATGGGCATACACGCACGCTTTCAGCCTAAAAGAAAGGTGATAGGCTACATTTTAGGCCTCTGAATCTTGATGACATTCCTTTAGAAGTACATCTACACTGCACACTCCTTTTGGTAGCATGTAAAGTACACACGTTACATGCCCCTCAGCATGGGTATAAATAGCAGTGTAGACAGTGAGGCATGGCTTAGGCATTCCTGAACCTTGTGAGTATCTACACTGCAGGGCTCTGTACTTGCCCAAGCAGTGCCTCCCACTGTCTACCCTGCTATTTTTAGCAGTATAGTATCCTTTCCCTAATGCACAGAGCTGCCAGAGCTTTCACCGCTGCAGTGAAAGACTGGCAGGAGGGAGGCAGCTTCAAAAGACTCAGGCAGCTCCCCCTGCCAGAGCCTTTCATTGACACGTAGTTTCACACTGCAGATTGGATGCAGCCTGCTCTTTACTGTGGCATGTAGCTACATATACCCTATGTCAGGGGTGGGAAAACTATGGCCCTTGGGCCGGATCTGGCCTGCAAGCCATTTTAAGTCAGCCTGCAAGCTGCACTACGCAGCTCGGCCCCACTCCGGCGCTCCAGCTGGGGCGCTGAGTTGGGGCTGCACTACGCTTGAGGTAAGCACCGCTTGGAGCCTGCACCCCAACCCCCTGCCTCAGCCCTGATCCCCCTCCCATTCTCTGAACCCCTCGGTCCCAGCCCAGAGCACCCTCCTGCACCCCAAACCTCTCATCCCCACCCTAGAGCCCGCACCCCCTCCCACACCCCAACCCTAATTTTGTGAGCATTCATGGCCTGCCATACGATTTCTATTCCCCGATGTGGCCCTCGGGCCAAAAAGTTTGCCCACCACTGCCCTATGTTCTGCCTAAAGAGGTGTGTAATGTATGGTAAGCCCCTGTAAGTGGGGTGCAGTAACAAGAGCAGACGGTTGGGGAAATAGGGACATGTGGAGGGTGGTAAAATGATACATGAATAAAATGCAGTGTAGATGTAGCCTACATTAAAGCTGTTGTACCTGAATGGCTCCTTTTAAGAAGCTGAAGGGTTACAATCTGGTTTTAGGTTTTTAGGGTTTTAGGAGTTGTGACGCTTCCTGGGGGTACCCAGAGTTGTGATACACCTTGCTACCGTATGCACTTAGTGTGAGGCAGCCTTGCTTCTACCTGCTGTGGGTGAGTTCTCCAGCACTACCAGAATCTGACATCACGAGCACTGCCTTCCAGCTGTTGATGTAGTAGGCGCACTCCAACCCCCAAGCATTCCCCGTTACGTTCTACCTTCAGAGGAGGTAAAGAAGCTTGCCCTCAAGAGAGTGGAATTTGATGAAAATCCTGATCCCGTGGCTTCAAATGAGAGAGGTGACTGATTCAGCTGAATTTTTTCAAATGTGGTCACCTGATGCTTGGCTCCTATATCTTGGTCCAGTTGACCAGAGAGAGCATCACTCTCCCCATGCTACCATGCCACAGCTGCAGTCAGGAGAGGTGCTGATGCAAGGTTACTGTGGATACAGGGTCCCTGGCAGGATGTTCGGCATAAGGGCCTGTGGGTTCTTGAAAGCCATTTAGCCCCTGATCTGAAATAATCTGGATTTGTTGATTTTTGGTGAATCCTGCAGGGCCCATGTCCTTCATTTGGCTTTTGAAAAGAGGCGGGGAATAGAGGTGCTGGCCAAAATCTGGGCTGATATCTTTTGATTATGAGTTTCTACTTGGTAAAAGGGGTGAGCTGACTGGCCTACTTATTTGGTTTATAATTTTAAATAATTTTAGAGCCTGTGTTGCAGGAACATTTTATTCTAAATTGAAAGACTATAAATAAACAAAAAAATAGATGGCCTGATTTTCAGACATGGTGAGCTCATGCAGACCCCATCACTCAGCACTGTGTTAGATTATGTGAGCTCGGCTCACAAACCACAAATGAAATAAAAGGCCTTCTCTATGAAGTGAGGTCTCTGCTGTAGTGGATGAGGAATTGGCTGTGAAAGAAGCATACTTGCTTTCCCCCTTCTTGAGCAGTCTGCCTGCTCCTGCCTAGCTCTTTTCCTTGATTGTTTAGCTATTCATAGTGTGTGTCATCTCACATCTCTTGCAGATCTTTCTGGACTGTTTCAGTCTCAGCCTGTCTGTCTGAAGGAGGTGATGGAGCTGACTGCACTTTGTTGGCACTGGCAGGGGGAAAAGGGTGTAGTGGCTCCTTTAAGAGTTCCCCATCACTTGAGAGTTGGAGGATGGAAAGGCATCACTTGACCTGGTGGGTGGGCCCATGGGACTCAGGTAACTGGCCCTTGTGCACCTGTGGGAGGGGATCTAAATCCTGTCTCTCCAGTGCTGAGTCCCCTCTCAAGCCTGGATGCAAGTGTCCTGAGCAGTTACTCATTCTATAGGGGGTCCAGTTCTCTGATAAACTGAAAGTGGACTTAGGAGAAGGCATCCCCTAAAGAAGCCAGGTATTGGGATTGAGGCTTCTAATATCTGGAGACAACCCCCTTTCCCCAGGCCCTAAACTCTCATATGAGGGGAGGGCAATGGAGTCTCAGTAACTGGCTTGGACCAGCTTTGGAGGGGTGGGGGACTGACGGCAGCCCCCGGTCAGGTGGAAATGATTAAGGAAGGGTGACTTGGACTGCATGAGTTATTGCTGGATAGTTCCCAGATGAGTTAATAAAGTTGCAGCCTAGTTAAACCACATCCACACATGGAATAAGGAGTGTCAGTGTTTCATTTATAGCACAAACAGGAGACACTTTGATCTAGAAAAGAGAAGATGTTTTAATCAGTACTAAGTACCAGCTGCCCTTAATAGGCTTTATTTTTAAAATAATTATTTCAACTGTTGTCCGTAGGATACTCCTGGGGGAATTCTGCCCACTGTGCAATGCAGAATTTTGCAGAAATTAATGTTGTGCGCACAGAATTTCCTTTCTCTCACAGAAATGGGCTACAGTGCTACTGGCTGCCACTAGGGGCTGCTGGACCCGGCAGAGCCCAGCTCGCAAATAGAAGACATTGCAGGGGGGATGGGAAGAGAGCTAGAGGGTTCCTGGCAACTTCAGTTCCCAGCATGCCCTGAGGGGAAGAGAGGGCGGCGCACAGGAAACTCTGGGACTGAGCATCAGGCTTTCTCTCCCTCTGGAGCCTTGGGCTCTGAGGTGGGAGGGGGCAGGTGTCTGGGCAAAGGGGGGCTCCTTGGATGTGTTCTGGTAGGGTTACCATATCTCATA